CGTAAATATATCATTATTATCCCATTCGAAGTGCGAAATGTCAGGATTGTCAATAAAGCTCATAGTCCAGAAATATTGTCCAAAAAACGGCCAGCAATGTCGTTCAAATTGTCCGATTCAATATAGATCTGTCGTTTTGAATTTTGAAAATATGATGTTAGATTTGTAATAAATGAATTAAATTTTCTTTTTGGTTTTTTAAAATTTTATAAATAGATTTCAAAGTTATGTGAAATGATTTGTCTAAATGCCAAGTACCAAAAACTTGATTTTTTCATTTTACAGAATCAAGAGAATATAAAAATTAATTGTTTGATAACAAATGAAAAAGAAGTAAATAATATTGTTTTTGATACAAGAGGTCATAAGTTAAGTGAAACATAAAAGAGGAAATGAATTTAAAAAAGGCCAAATTAATTAAAGTCGAAATTTGACGCAAAAACTCGTTAAAGAAATATGATAATATGATCCTCAGTTAAAAACAAGTTTGATAACAGATCTCATAACAATTAATTACTTGTTCATTTAAAATAATGTTTTTTTATATTATTTTAATAAAGCGATTCCTTAGTTTCTACATTTTTTAAAAATGTCACTACAATGAAAATTGTTCTACTTCTCTAATTTAAATTTTTATCAATTACAATTGCAATTATGCTTAAATAAATATTTTATAATTATTCCTTGAAATGATATAATGGTATTTAGTTTCTGCAATTTGCGGAAAATTATTGGAATTTCAAATCTACAAATATTTAAATAGCGATTTTAGGAAAGTGTTTGTATTGAAATTCAACAGTTTTTTTTCTGAGTAAAATTCTGTTGATGTACCAATGAATCACATCTAATACCGTGTAATACTATCATTAGTGCACTTTAATAATTAAATAGTTATCGAAATATTGCTGAATAATGGTACCAATCAAGGCAAAAGCTTGCTAAATCTATTAATGTGGTATTTTATTACAACATTTATTCATAAGAATCACAATGTAATGATGAGGTAATTATTCGCATTTTTTATTTATACGCAATTTTATTTCTGACTCTTAAATAGAAATTGTAATTCAGTTTTATCCATTTGTCTCACATGTTTTGACGCGCTAAGAACTGTTAAATATCATAAAGTGTAAATTAACAAACAAAACATTTAATTATTTAAATCTCAGGTTGAATCAAAGAAAACTCCTGTTAAAGTTTTAAAAAAAGTTTACATCAGTAATTATTGTTGTTTTTTCATTTGAATAAGTAATTTGGAGTTTGTGAAAATGCTTTAAGTTCTAAATTAGATGTTTACCATATTATTTTTGCAAAAAATTAATATATTCCGCATAATTCAAATCATTTCCCAGCATTGAAATTAAAAAATTAATAGTGCGTAGCAATAATATTAATGATCTCAGAAACTCGTTCATGTCAGACATTTATGGCTATATACCAGAAAAGATTGTTCTTAATGAGACTGAAAGTCAAAGTTCGAAATGCTGAGAAAGTGAATTATTATAATTAAAACTGTGATAATAAGAATTTATGACATATTATTAATTTTTTAGGAAAATTTACATCTAGTTTAAAATTTTTTTAATTTTAATAGTACATTAATAAAATTTCGAAATTTCAGTGATCTTTTAAATCTATATTGGAAAAATGTTATTTAAGGTACATGGTTTGATGTAATAAGATCATTTCAATTGAAGTTGGTAAAGTTTCAATAAGAAAAAGTTCAAATAATTAAACTAGTAAATTGAAGTCTTTTTATGAAAATAGAGAAGTTCTTTAGCCATAAATCTCGCTTATATCTGCATTCAAATTAAAAACGTGTCTCTTTTATCTTGAAATTGGAAAAAATGCAATTAACAAATATTGTTAATTAGTTTAGTAAATTACTTATCATTTATTAAAGAATAAAATTTGTTCCATAGGTAACTAATTATAACAAGTAATTAACTTCGGATAAGAAATTCAATTAAGCAACAATAAAATAAATTAAATTACAAATGAAATACAATAAACGAGTTTCATTTTAATCTTGTCTCTGATAAATTAAATGTTCACGTTAAAAATACTGTAATTAATTACAAAAGAGGCAAGAAAAACGATGTTAATCAAATTTTGTTGTAATAATAGTGAACGCGTTACGATAACAATAATAAACTTTTTGTATAAGAAAGACAACAAGCTTATCAAGCTTATCAAGCTTTTTATGTTAAATTGTTTGTCTCTAAACATTAAATTTTCATAAATAATTAAAATTAATTTGCTCGTTAATTAAAAGGTTTTTGAGTTTGGTATTGTTATCCGCGTTGAATACGCCAATTCTATTATAATCTAAATAGAAATATTTTCGTTGTCGAAAGCGGTCATGCGTGCTCGATTCGTTGAACTTATGAATTCTATAAGCGCGAGAACACAAGTATAATATATAACCGTAAGAATACTTTATTTTTGCAATTGTTGCCCAAAGCTATCAAATGTAAAAAAAAATAAAAATATGGTGGAGAAATTGATCGAGTGTAATGCTTTAAATTATCGAGTTGCTAGCTCTACCTACTTACTGCAAAGCTACGCATATTCGTTAGTACATATGCGAAAACGCGATTGCCGTAATCAGGAGGTAATTAGTGCAATAGATGTGTCGAAAAAATATTTCCTCTCACAATAAATCATATATTGTATTTAAATAAAATTTACCATTCAATTATTTCAACATTTTCTAATTTATTTTACAATTTTTATATGCTTTATACATTTCGCGCAGCTTTACTATAGATACCTACTTAATTTTAAAGATACTTAAATTGACACTTACTTCAGTATTTTGGAACAAAGTTGCTATCTTCGAACAATATTAAAACTATACAAAGAATTGACTAAACAATAAATTTCAAATAGTTTTACTTATTTAATTTAAGGAAGAAAAATATTATCTTTAAATCCAAAGTACATCTTTTAAATCAATGAAAAGATTTACTTTACATAATTTGATACTAATTTATTCAAATATTTATTATTATTTATTCGAGTAAAGAAAGTGATAAAACACTTTTATGAAACATTGAGAATTAAAGTTTTTTTATTTGTTGCGTATAGAATTATTATCACAAATCTCACAAAGAAATAAAACAATTTTAATTTTGAAATAATTTGCCGTTTATTCATTTAGGTGTGAAAGATGCTAATTATTATGTACTTTGGTTAACTCGAGAGTAGACGATTTTCTTGACAGATAATATGTGCAAAATATAATTATTTGTAGCACATATTGACACTCAATATTTGATTGCGTAATTTTCTTCGAAAGTACAATGTAAAATCACGTAATAGTAAAAAAGACTTATGACAAAGTGAAGGAAGTTTATTCAAGTTTTTAATTAAATATGTGCCTTTATGCAAGCGTCACCATTTTTGCATTGCAAAGAAAGGCATGATTTTACAAAAAAGCGGATTTTTTCGGCAAAAGAAAACTTTTATTTTCAGAAAAAAAATTTTTTAATTTAAAAATTATATTTTTAAGTTTCAAAAAGTATAAATTATTATTGATAAATATAGAAAGTCGTTTAAATGGAACTGTCAAATATTTTATAAAGACATAAAGTATATAATAGAAAATGTATGAAAAATGCATATAATGTTGTTTTCAGTCTGTGTGTGTGTGTTCGACATATATTACTGCTTATCTGTATTAATTATAGAGTGTCCTAGGTAATATTTTGTTTTAGAACTTTTACAACTTTTTGATTCTATTGAATGTTTCAGATTTTTTAAAGAAGAATAAACTGGTTTTCATAATATATTTAAGGCTCTTGGCAGCAACTTGTTGACATACACATAATTTTTTTTTCTTCTCTTAAATATTTCAACTCTTATTAGGAGGGTATTTACTACTGCGTCATTCAGATGCTGATAAAATAATTAAATTATTAGTTCACCTTCATAGACTACCGTCTACGGTTATTCGAGTAAAACATTAGATATGCGAAAATCCCGTTTTATTGCATAATTCATATTTTCTGTCAGCTAATTTAAAATCATCACAGATCCAAAATTAACATTATTGTTGAGAATTTTTTTTGTCATTGTGAAGCTTATTCTATTATAATTAATTAATCATAATTCCGTATCTACTTGTTCATAATCTTGCTATTAACTTATTTCCTTCGTTATTTTATTATTTATTATTTTAGTTTCAACTTTTTAAATATTTAAATATTTCTTTCGATTAGTTAATATTATATTTTTCATTTTTTAACATTTTTTCAATTATTTATTATTTTACTTTAATTGTTGTCTTATTCATTTCAGAACAATAGTTTCATCAATACATTAAAAAATCACCCCTTTATATTTATGAAAACGTTTCTTACACTCATTTAAGAAACAAACTGCCTTCATTCAGGAATTTTTTTAATCAATTTATGATAAACTTAGTATGACAAACAAATTAGTAAATTGGTTTCATTTAAAAAATCATAGTGTCCTGTAATATAAAAGAAAGGAAATTACTTGAAAATCATGATAGTTAATTTTCGTCTCACTAAATAGATAGTGGAATTTATTAAAATTGTGTACTATATAAATTGTATATATGATATTAAACCCACAGATGGTATTAGTGTCCCATGTAATTTTTCCTATACTAAACAGATATCGCATTTATTTAATATCTTCTCTTCATATAAAAGAGTTGAAGAAAAAAGAAATTGAAAAAGGGATGAGAGAAAAAAAATTAAAATTTTTTAAAAAAGTATAACATTGAAAATGATATAATTCTCGTAAATTTAAAAAATAATATTATATAAATATTTTTATTAAAAAAAATAACTTTCAAAGATTCAAGGAAATAAATTTTCAATAAAATAAAAACCTCAATTTAAAGGAAAACAAAACCATACTGTTTTTATATTCCTTAAAAAATTTTAGTCCAATTAATAAAATTGTTTCGGGATGCTGTCATAAAAAATAAATGTGCTATAAAAGTAAGAAAGTAATTTTTAATTTACCTAAACAATGAAATTCCTAGATGTAAGAGTTGATATTGACACAAAAATTGTCCAGTGAATAAATGTAAAATGGTTTTTGAAAGTAACGAAAATTGAAAATCACAGTGAGAATGTTAACCCACCCTCCAGCCCTCGGAATCCCGGTTAGTTAAACCAAGACTGATAAGATCGTTTTCTTGAACGTTGGACCACCGACTGATTCAGACTGATTCGAATTTGCCACACTTGCAAGGGATCATGCCATTTTTCTTTCTTACCGGTTTACAATCAAAGAACCTTGCACATGCCCCACGCGAGCAACCACTTTTCCTGAGCCGCGGTATTTACTTCGACAATAATAAAGAATCGAGCATCCCTACCACCTATTAAAATAACACAAATATCCCATCCCATTCACCCCTCTCCGCCTTTTGAAATGAAAAGCAGAAAACGGCGCAAAATTTGCTTCTTTCATTCAAGAAATACGTCAATAGAAAGCAAACTTCACACGCTGCCTATTTTTTCAACCTTCATCTCAAATCAGTGAACGAAAGACGCGAGCGTGATGAGCTAGTGTATTTCATAATAGATTGTACTAAATAAAAATGTTATTTCTTTGAAAACCATTTGTTTTCTTTACTTCCTGTATTTAGTTAACAATCATATTTTATAATTGATAAGATGATTATGAAAAAACGTCAAATTGAATGTAGTAAAAATTACCTTTGATGAAATTTTTTTTTCAATTATAGTCAATTTTATGGAACACTAAATACAATTATAAAATTATACTTAAATATTTAAAATTGAATTTTATTTAATCAACTTAGATACATATCAACCAAAAATTCATTGATAGAACACAAATGATTTATTCATTTATATGACATTACTTTGATTAAATGATAAAAATAACATTTATTAACATTGTTTAAATTACACTTTATTAACTGTACACATATACGTTATTTGCATTTAATGAATAAATAATAATTAATTAAAATATTATATAAAGTTAAAATACTTTAATTGTAAATTTTCAATTAAATTTAACAAAAATTAGTATAAATTTAATAATTTAGATTAAAATTAATACCTATTAATAAAAAAAGAAAGCAAACTAGTTTTATTTAAAAGCACCAGCTCTCTTTTGAATTTGAATATTGAAATAATTAAAGACTTTTGGAATAATGATATGCAAATGTCAGGAGACATTATTATTACATAGTAGAACCGAGTTGTGAAATGATTGATTAAGTCAAATGAATACTTTTGTTAACGACTAGCTTTCATGCCCTCCTTCGGCGGGACCCGAAATCTGGTGACGCGCGACCCACAGTACTTTTGTATACAACATTCGCATACTGACCTTTTATATTTCATTATATAAAATTAATTTATTACAATATTAATATTAACCAAGTATAGAAGGTTAAAACATAATTTACCAAAATTATTAATTTAATTATTATTTATTATTATTTAATTATTATTAATTTAATTAAAAAATAATTTTTTTCCAGAAATTTTTTAATACTTTTCATAAATAAATTATTTATTCTAACCAATATAATGAGTTGATTCAAAGAATTAATTTGATTTAGTTTTCACTAAACTGTCTTCAGGAATTATATTTTGTTCTACCTCTGTATTTCGATGACTATAAAACGGTTAATCATATTCGTAATCAGTGATCCTGAAAACCCGTAAATAACAACTTTTGAACAATTCCAATCAATTTTTTTATGGGAAATTAATAAATTATTTATCAATATAAGCTAACTTTACATGGTTTAATTTAATTGTATTATATATAAAGTTATTCATATGTGTTTAATTTATGTTGTTAATTAATATTATACTACATTTACTATTTTGTTTAAATTTTAGTTTTTTAATAATATTTTTAATACTATATACAAATATTAAAAAAATTATTTTATATAACATTTTATTATTTTTTAATAAAGTACAAACAATAACTATATTACAAAAGTTTTCAATCTAACAATAATATTTAATAACTTATGTTACTAACATATAAAAATGATTAACTTTTTCTGTAAAATACGTTATAAAGAACATGTTTACATTATCATAATCGAGAACATTTTAGTAATCCCGGCAGATTGTGTAAACCAAGAAGTGGACTGAGCTCGGTCAAGTTTCGGTTCGTTTGGGTTTGAGGCAATATATTGCAAAAAATAATTGAAATATTGGTAAAATTGCTATTAGTAAGTAATAATTAATGTTTTCTGAGTCGATTTATGCAATATTATTGGATAATTAAGCTCTTATTATTAAATAATTAACTTTTTGAAACAGAAGTATATTTACAAAAACAATTTGTGAATTTTTTTTTCTATTATTTTGCCGTTAAAAAAAATTCAAGGATTCCTAAATATTTTAAAGGAATTCCAAAAAATAATATTATATAAAATAATTTTTTTGGGACTACAAAAACAATTTTTTTTACAAAGCTCTTTTTAAAACGGTGTGTAAAGTGATTCACTTTACGTACTGAAATTTACTTTACGCACCGAAATTTTTTTCACAAAATATAAGGATTGTTTTAGACCATACAAAGCCACAAAATTAAACAAGGAGGGGGTCCTTTATGCTTATTTCATAAACATTTTGCTTCCGCATTGTGTAAAGCAAAAAATTTGCTTCATCGTGAAGAAAGATATGAATTTCTCTAATCCAATTAATTGATTTAAAACATTTCGAGTTAAAAACTGATTTAAATTCATTATATTTTTTGAAAAATTAAGAAAATTGTAATTCATTTTGGGTGTAACATATACTTTATATATACGAATCGATTCGTTTCAATGCAGGGGATACATTTATTTAATGTATTAACTTGAATTTAAAAAAACACAAAATTTTTTAGCTGAAATATGAATTTCTGATTTTTCAATTTTTATTAATTCTTAAAATTTAAATCAAGTCTGTACTTTATATCGATGGATGGGTGTAAAAACAAGGTTGGGGTCCTTTATGCTTATTTCATAAACATTTTGCTTCCGCATTGTGTAAAGCAAACAATTTGCTTCATCGTGGAGAAAGCTATGAATTTCTCTAATCCAATTAATTGATTTAAAACATTTCGAGTTAAAAACTGATTTCGTCGTTTGATTTGAAGAACATGACACGTCGAAAACGAAATTTTTCTTTTCAAATTTCTGTTGGTACCACTGACCGCGAAATTTAAAATAGTTTCTTATATATTACATTTTTTAAGAATATATGATGATATTAAAATAATAGAAGTAAAATCTTGCACTATACACATATAATTTTGAATATTTTACATGAAATTCGTTTTAAATCAACGGGATTACAATACTGTATTTAAATGGTCGTCTGTATTATTAATTACTTTTACAGCTGTATGACAACGTCATGGGTGTCAAATCCTCCAGGAAATGAATAATTGGAGGATTTACTAGAAAAAATTTACCTAAGTTAATTTAATTTATTTAATAATTGTGTTTTAAAAAATATACTTTACTTACTCTGCATGATTGACTCTTTAAACAAATATTTAAACAACACCAATTGTAATAGAATATTTACTATATAAATATTTATAATAAAATTGAATTATTTTTAAAATCACAGATTTTATCAATCTAAATATAAACTTTATAAAAAGCTATTTAACCTAATTTTTCTTTGAACTAACATATTATGAAGCAAAATCATTTGTTTCATAAAACAGTTTCAAAGATTTGACACATTTTAAATTTCACGATCAGTGGTACCAACAGAAATTTGAAAAAAAATTTCGTTTTCGACGTGTCATGTTCTTCAAATCAAACGACGATGTATCATTTTTTCCAACGTTAATCCGACGTATCATGCTTTTCAACGCCAATTCGATGTATCATGTTTTTACACCCAGCCATCGATATATACCAATCGATTTGTTTTAATGCAGGGAATAAAATTATTTCATATATAAACTTGACTTTTAATAAACACAACATTTTTTAGCCAAAATGTAAATTTTTTATCTTTTAACTTTCATTAATTCTTTAAATTTTAATCAAATCTATACTTTATATATAGAGCAATTCCATGGGATGTGATCACAAGAATTTTTGATGATTGGAGCAATTTTATTGAAACCTTGTGAATATGTTCCTTTATTTGTACAGAATGAAAGCCAACAAACAATTTTTCAAAATTTTTTGAGATATCTCTAATTAAAAATTTATGTCATTTTTTAAAAAAAACCATGAAACTTTTTTTCTTGTTATCCAAATGAGATCAATTTTTTTCAAATTTCGCAAAAAAAGATGCTATTTTAAGAAAAAAATAGTTCATGAAAAAAAATTTTTTTTCCCGGAAAAAAGTCAAAAAAAAATTTTGAATTCATTTTTTGAAAATTGATTATAATTCCTTCAAAAAAAAAAATCATTATTAGTATTATGTATTGTGATACTCGAAGAAAATTCTTTTTATTTTGTATTAAAAAAAGAAAAATAAGAGTATATAATAATAATACCATAAAGGTATATAATGTAGCCTTTAGTACACAAATAAATAAATCTTGTTTTGTATGTAGTAAAATCTCATTAAGAGTTATATAATCCTATCCCTAGGTGAATAGAGGAAAAAGAAATCCTAAGTTATCTTATGGTTAGCTAAATTTTTACTATTATCATCTAACCGTGGATAATACATTATGAGCAGTTCTCTCGATCACCACTTAATGATACCTGTCATGTTGATTGTTTAAATAATTTCTTTTCATTTTTCAACTTTTTCAATAAGAGGAAACAGGTAATTATCAGACGAGAGGGTCCGACGAAAGGAGAATAATCAATTGAATGGTTGAGTTGTCAGTAACCCCAATTTAGAAAGGGGGAATTGTAACGATTAATTTAAAAAAAATCGTTATTACTAAATTAATAAATAAATACTATAAATTTGTTATTACTGGCAGCTCATTATAATTCGAATGATCCCGCGGTATAATGTTCATAAAGTTGTAGAGGGCGCATTCAGCCCACGTCCGAGCAGACGACAAAACCACGTTTTTGTCGCCTACCAGTAGAAGGAAAACAAAGACGCTCAGAGCGAAGCGATTCATCATATGAATGTGAGTGGTCTGTTTACGAATATTGTAAAATATATATTCTTTCCGCAGTATTTTGTATTTATATTTATAATAAACAAATTATAAATAATGGATCGTGGTGATTAATTTATCATATTGAATTGTACATCGTACAGTGGTGGAATCAACATCGATTGAGTTGGATTATAAAGGATCATCGCCGGTGAGTAATTGATTTTTCTCTTTCCTCTCGTCAATATAATTTATTTGGTGCTTCGAGAACTGCTCACTTACTTCTCATTTATGATATTACTATTAGACGATATCATGTATGGAAACTCAGTTTAATATTTGTGACCTCGGATCGAGTCTTACCCGCGAATTTAATTAGTAATACTATAACATAATAATCTCGATTTTGGGTTTGTCACACTATAGGGTTTGTCTATCGCTTATGCACGATTATTATATTAATTCAAATGTACAATTTTTTTTGTAATCGCTGCCGCTCTCACATGTTATTTACCAAAGCTTTAGAATGATTTTTTGCTTTTCCCTGCAATAATACTTTTCTCTGCTTACTATCGCTTAAAACAGAAACAAATTTCATTTAATTACAATTTTTTTTATAAATACATAAAATCATGAAAATTATTATGGGTGATAAACGCGTTAAAATTTTCGTTTCTAATAAACAATAGTGGTCAACTAATTACCACTCAAGACATAGTCTCCGATTTCAAAACACAGCTGTGTTGACATCCGTGATTCACCATTGTCTCTTACCGGCCTAGCAACTTTGCATAGAGAAAAACAAAAACATTTTTTTTTACTTTACATAAAAAAAAACCCAATGCATTTTGATAAATAAAAACTTTTTTTTTACTTTTTCCTCCTAACAAAATCGGTTGAACTATTTGATAATTAAATTATTACAGCTGATTGAATTATTAATTGATTAAAATAAAAACAAATTAATTAATAAAAAGAAAGGAAGGAAAAATTTGTATTCGCTTTTCGTGTCTCAACAAAAAAAAAATAATAATAATAATAAATAAAATAAATATTTGAATTTTTTTTTCTTTCCCATATCCTTTTTTTTATTTTTATTTCCTTTTGTACTCTTTCCAAAATGGATAACAATGACACGAAAAAATAATAACGAAAAAACCGATAGAGTTACGACTAGGTCCCAAACAAAAGAGTCATCTAAATCAGCAAACAAAATGATCCGCACACCCCCACAATCCCAAACAGACAATTCCGCAAAAAGCCAAAAGGTTCTCAACCTACCACCCACAATTCCAAATGAATTGCAAATTAGAACGGACGATTATCAAAACACCGCAAGCGGAACGCAAAGCGTTACAACCGCGAGAATAGAAGATTCGGACCAATTTTTCGATCACGAATCTTTTAATCTCGAACAGTCTGAAACCCAAACGAAAGACTCAATTAACAGAACAACAACAAAAATTTTAATTCCTACTCGTCGCGGTAGAAAACCAAAAGAGAAAAATTCTCCTATAACGGGTAAACAATCTGCAAAAATTTTTTCAAATTTTACTACACAGAGCCGTCAGTTCCAAGAACATATAACAGAACTATTCGAACTTCACTCAACAGAATCGCGTAACCAAATGTTGTCCTTCTACAATGATACTCGTAAAGAATTAAGTATGATTAGACAAGAAACTAACCGCGAAATAAATGCGTTCAAAACGGAAAATACTCGTGAAATAAAATCATTACAAGTTCATACAACCGATTTATGCAACACGATTAGAGCAGAAACATGTCAAGCGATAGAAATCCACCGCCAAGAAATAGATAAAACAATAAACAATCTGTCTCCAAAAGTGACAGATTTACAATTACGAAATATTCAATCGCCATGGCATGATTCACGATGGGAATCTATCGACCATGCACATAACGTCAGTGGAGAACCAAATCCACCATCGGTTCCAAATTATTTTTCTTCGCAAACACAGGTACCACAACCTAATCCAATTGCGAAACCACTACCAGCACCCAGGAATACAATTCCTAATTTACATAAAATAATAAAATCATGGGAATTAAAATTCCCCGGTAAATTTGACGCGGACGAATTTATAGAAGAATTCGAACGAAAAATGAATGCTTCCGCCATTAATCCTGATGACGCGTTACCAACACTGTATTCTCAGACAATGCGTATACGTTGTTTGCAACTTTCCGTAACACCTTCCACACATGGATTGAAGTTTCGGCAAAGTTTAAAAAAATTTTCGGGGATACTAACGATGATCAACAGATCATAAATAAAATTCAACGGTCGGTACAAAACGTAAACGAAACGGGAATCGCGGTCGTCATACGGATTAGCGCATTATTCAACAAGCTCCATCAAAAAAATACCGGAAAAGAGCCAACTCGACAAAATTTATTCGGCTCTTCATTCGGAACTAATTTTACAATTCGACCGCGATAGTTTCCTAACTTACGACGGTTTAATTGAAAAAATTAAAAAGTACGAAGAAAAAATTGCAACAATGCAATTAACGAACAAACTAAGAGAAATTGACTCTAAGGAATCCCGTAACGCGCGTGGAAAAAATCAGTTAAATGCGATTGAAACATTCGCGCTCCTCTCGCTCGGCTTCGTCGCAGAGAAGGGGGGAGAGACGAAGATCGTACACACGTAAAGGTAGAGATCGTGATAGCAATTCACATAGAAAAGATGATCGAAACAATGGTTATCGCGGCGGTAAACGTAATAATAACCGCGGTCGTGGCAACGGTTGGAACAATTATGGTCGTGGTTACAACCATAATTATGGCTATTACCAAAATAGCCCCCAATTTCCGCCAAATTACCAACCAAATTATCAGGGTAACAATCAAGCGATGCAACCCCTTCCAGGACCGCATCCTTACATGCAACAATGGTATAGTAATGATAACCGCGACTTTCCACCATTTAACCAAAATCAACTAAATTCATCGTCAAAAAACGACAAGGATGCCAGGAGAGAATAGATCTCACTGGCGAAAAATTAAATAAAAATAACGACTTATACGGACAAGCACTTACAGACAAAAATTTTAACAGAAATGACAATTTGATAAACCGCGAAACAGTTGACACATACGCAACTCCGAGCTGCAGTCACACTGCCCAAAGCCCAACGCGTATAACCCGAAATGCATTAACGCTTAATCAAGCGTATGCCGGTAGGGTCTACACTAGCGACTCTGAAAGCAGTTATGACGATGCAATTTATTCGGATTCTGAAACGGAGTACCTAGACTCAAGCGAGGAACACCCCTCTACCGATCCATTGCGATCAGTAAGACACGGTATATCCTCTCTAGCATCTCGGTCTTTGACAAATCCAATCGTAGGCCTATTAGCTGCGGCTGGAAAGCTCAAACACACGGTACACAAAGGGCCAGCATCGCCCTTTCCGTCCCAATTGCGTAATACCATTTCAACATTAATTAAAATAGGCGGTAAAGAATACACAGGTCTCTCGACACAGGTAGCGACCGCACCTTTATGTCTGGAGAATTGTATGACCAGTTAAAAAATTTCGCAAACAGTAAACCGGTTTTAGACGAGATAACACGCGCAGGCGTACAACTTGCTCAACGCGACCACATCGCCGCCCCGCGTCTTCACAGGAAGTTAAAAAATCTTTGATAAATGCTTTAACTTTAGTCGCACCGCGACCAAACTTACCATTCTTCCTTTACACTGATGCGAGTGACACTGGCATCGGTGCAATTTTAACTCAAAAGGACGGAGACCAAGAATATCTTTTTACGTGTCTGAGCAGGCCTTTAAGGGGTGCTGAATTGAATTACACCACCACTGAAAAGGAATGCTTAGCCGTAATCTTCGCGGTCAAGAAACTCCGTTGTTATCTCGAAGCCACTGAGTTTACTGTAATTACCGACCACTCTAGCTTGATTTGGCTACAAGGGATCAAGGATCCACGAGGTAGACTGGCGAGATGGACTTTAGAGCTATCCGTCAACCAGGTTAAAATTAAACACCGTAAAGGTACCATGAACGAGGCCCCGGACACACTTTCTCGTCTTTACGAGAATGTCTCGGAAGATGTGTCCTTACCGCGTTTAAATTTGGTTCGTAACCAATTATGGTACGAAGATATGGTAGAACGTGTACGAACTACTCAACACGTTATGAAAAATACAGGCTTGATACGAACAATATTTTATATTACTATACACCTAATTTAATCAAAGAAAGTATCGGTGATAATAACGCGTGGAAGAAAGTATTGCAAGAAAACGAAATAATTCCCACGATATAAGAATATCATGATTCTCCGCAATCGGCACATCAAGGAATCAGTAAAACGTACCATGCGATTCTTAATCTGTATTACTGGCCCGGTATGCGCGAGGACATTAAATGATACATAAATGAGTGCGAGACATGTCTTAAGTGTAAACCTAAGAACTCTCCTCCTCAAGATTTAATATACCCGCGAAAAATGAGAGAACCATGGGAAATTGTGTCTTTAGACATTCTGGGTCCTTTGCCGCGATCAAAATCCGGTAAGCGCTACGTATTAGTTTGTGAAAACACGTATACTCGGTTTATAGATTGTTTTACTTGATCGAAAGCAGATGGACCGAAAATAGTCAGGTCCCTAAATACTCTCGTTAATCGATGGGGAACACCGAGAATTTTTATAACCGATAACGGAACAGAATTTGTTTACCGTAATATTACAAACTTTATGCGTAAAGTCGGTTCGGAACAACGTACGACTCCGGTGTACCACCCGCAATCTAATCCAGTGGAACGCGTCAACCGTAATTTAAAAACGATGATCGCTAGTCTCCTTGGAAGTGACTACCGCGAATGCGATATACTCTTAGCAGAAATCCAATTTGCGTACAATAAAACGACACATTCTTCCTTAGGCGTATCTCCCGCTTATTTTAACCATGTTCGTGAGTTGAGACGTACCGGTAAGCAAATACCTGACATTAATAAGGACGAAACAATTACAGACGACACTCCTAATGATTGGCTCGAACGAGTAAAGCATATATATGCTCTCCGTACAAAAATTGAAATGGAAATATCTAAGACCACTAACAGACAGAGTAGAGTTTATAACAAAAATAGAAAAAATAATGTTGTTTTCGAGGTTGGAGACTTTGTATTCTACCCTAATAATATTCTGTCAAACGCCGCTTGTAATTTTACTTCCAAATTGGCACCGCGATACAGAGGACCAGCAGTAATAATAGAAAAATTATCACCCATAGTAGTTGTTATTGGTGATAATCAAGGCATGAAAATTGGTAAATACCATGTCAACGATTTAAAGCCAGCACGACAAAACCTACGATCGCGAAAGATGATGTAATTTCTTTCCAGGTCAAAATCAACATGTCAACTCCAAGTCACTCATTCATCAGTGGTCTCAATTTAACGGAAATACCCGTAGTATGCCTTAATACACCAGATCCACATGGAAGGCAGGATTCACAATGGGAATTCACGGTAGAGACTTCGGGCCTGGATCCACATCGTGCCAAATAACAACGTCAATGATATCACGGATTTATACCGCAAGTTATTCAAAGTTTCACAAAAAGAAAGAGAAACCTCAGACACCCTCGTCACCACCAAGGAGGAACTCGCTCAATATAAGGCGGAAAATAAATCATTGAAGTTAGACCTCGAGTCTTACGACTACGACTACGAGAGCTTATTACGAGATTACACCGCGGTTGAGCAATCAAATAAAAAGATACGAGAGCTCTTCACAAGCAAGATGACGGAAGTCTTTCGCGCTCAAATGCAGCTTCGTGAACCATTGCTTCGCCCCAAGGCATCCGAAGGATGCCTAAACTGCGGCCAGTCAGGACATAGCCATCGTCTCTGTAAGGAAAAATATTCTGGAAAATATTGTCAGAAATGTGCAAATATGGGATTTTCCACAGAAGATTGCCCATGGCCTCACTATGCCATGGTCAACTATCAAGTCCCAGAATGTAACCGATGTAAGCATTGTTGGCGTCCGCGAAACCTACCCGATGCCAACTGCTATGAGTGTCGACGACGGGTAATCACTGCAAAAACCACTGAACGTGATAAGACAATAAGAAAACTCGGGATTAAAGTAGCTACTTCGCAACAACCCACTAAACTAGGTGCCATTAAAAAGGAGTTACCAATGATTCCAACCACGGAACGTATGTCTCACAAAACCGCTGATAAGAAGTCGTCAGTCAAGTCACGAACCTCACCAACCCGTGAGGTAGTCAAGGTCGAGATCCCTACCGATAATATCCCAGAGGAATCCTACCGATTTTCATTAAACGCCTTATCACCGTTGGACTCTGACGATAATAACACGGAACTTTGGAAGACGCTTTCAGAAGTCATTAATCTCAGTGTCGACAAAAAAGAGGAGTAGCCACAGAAAACCCTGACATCGCTATCATCTCTATTTTTTTATATTATTCCTTATCCATACATTTATTTTGTTTCGCGCCGTTGCGCCTCCGATTTTTCTTAGCTACAAATATGCTTCATTATAAGTAAAAGGCATATAACCGCGCCTATGCCCAATTAAAACAAAAATGTATTTTTTTATTATCTTCACTATTATAATTCCTTCAAAAAAAAAATCATTATTAGTATTATGTATTGTGATACTCGAAGAAAATTTTTTTTATTTTGTATTAAAAAAAGAAAAATAAGAGTATATAATAATAATACCATAAAGGTATATAATGTAGCCTTTAGTACACAAATAAATAAATCTTGTTTTGTATGTAGTAAAATCTCATTAAGAGTTATATAATCCTATCCCTAGGTGAATAGAGGAAAAAGAAATCCTAAGTTATCTTATGGTTAGCTAAATTTTTACTATTATCATCTAACCGTGGATAATACATTATGAGCAGTTCTCTAGATCACCACTTAATGATACCTGTCATGTTGATTGTTTAAATAATTTCTTTTCATTTTTCAACTTTTTCAATAAGAGGAAACAGGTAATTATCAGACGAGAGGGTCCGACGAAAGGAGAATAATCAATTGAATGGTTGAGTTGTCAGTAACCCCAATTTAGAAAGGGGGAATTGTAACGATTAATTTAAAAAAAATCGTTATTACTAAATTAATAAATAAATACTATAAATTTGTTATTACTGGCAGCTCATTATAATTCGAATGATCCCGCGGTATAATGTTCATAAAGTTGTAGAGGGCGCATTCAGCCCGCGTCCGAGCAGACGACAAAACCACGTTTTTGTCGCCTACCAGTAGAAGGAAAACAAAAACGCTCAGAGCGAAGCGATTCATCATATGAATGTGAGTGGTCTGTTTACGAATATTGTAAAATATATATTCTTTCCGCAGTATTTTGTATTTATATTTATAATAAACAAATTATAAATAATGGATCGTGGTGATTAATTTATCATATTGAATTGTACATCGTACAGTGGTGGAATCAACATCGATTGAGTTGGATTATAAAGGATCATCGCCGGTGAGTAATTGATTTTTCTCTTTCCTCTCGTCAATATAATTTATTTGGTGCTTCGAGAACTGCTCATTTATGATATTACTATTAGACGATATCATGTATGGAAACTCAGTTTAATATTTGTGACCTCGGATCGAGTCTTACCCGCTAATTTAATTAGTAATACTATAACATAGTAATCTTGATTTTGGGTTTGTCACACTATAGGGTTTGTAAGGTTACCGTGTAAGTCTACAGTAAACTTGAGGTCACCTTAAAACTTCCGCCATTACAGAAAGCTTACACAGTAAAGCTAAGGTAAACTTAAACAGTAAGGTCGTGGTAAGTTTACATGGTAAGGTTGTGGTAAGCTTACACGGTAAGGTTGTTGTAAGCTTCCCTTAAGGTTACTGTAAGGTTGCTGTAAGGTTACTGTAAATATAGAATGTTATTAATAAATATATTTTTTTAATATTTATGCGCAGTAGTTTTCTATGGCACATACGCCTGCGCAGTAAATTTTATTTAACAAACCCTATTGGGGTTCATGAAGTACTTTACCAAATATATAATTTTAGAGATTGCAGTAAGGTTAATTAAACTTTTTACATGCGTAGAAGGTTAGAGTGCACTTTAGACATGCACAGTAAGGTCAATTAAAGTTTTCGCATGCGCAATACAGTTAAGTGCACGTCAGACAAGCGCAGCAGCGTTAATTGAACTTTTTACATGCGCAGTAGAGTCCGTTGATCATTGGACTTGCGCACTGGGGTTAAATGCACTTTAGATATGTACAGTTGGGTCAAGTAAACTTTTTACCTGCGCAGTAGTGCTATATGCACTATAGACATGCGCAGTAGAGTTTGTACGTAAAAAGTTTAATGAACTTCACTGCGCATTTCTAATGCGCGCTCATCCTACTGGGGAACAGAATGAAAGTCCCATCTACATTGGTTTTGAGTCTTGGAACGGAACGAAAGTACCATGGACTTTCGTTTCTGGTCTTAGATATTGTTATTGTTGCAAAAAAAATTTTAATAAAATATTTTTATTAGTTGAATTTTTTAAGAAATATTTTTTTTATTAGAAACTATAAAAATTTTTATTTAAACAAAATTATTTTTGTAGTCCCAAAAAAATTATTTTATAAAATATTATTTATTGGAATTCCCTTAAAATATTTAGGGAATCCTTGAATTTTTTTAACCGCAAAATGATAAAAAAAAATCACAAACTGTTTTTTAAAGCCATCTAATGATAAACGCGTGTATTACGTCTGTAATATGCATATATTAAGGTTACAACAAAATTTTTTTATATATTATATATTTAATTATTTAGTACTAGTTTATTGTATAAATAACAAAAATAGTTAATATTAATTCAATAGGAAAAAAGTTAATTTTTTGTCATTTTCCTTTTTTTCAATCACAAAATATAGTATACCATGACAGGTAAATATACTACTCTTCAAAAAGTTAATTAATTAATAATGAAAGCTTAATTATCCAATAATATTGCATAAAGTAGTATATCTAAAGGGATACTGCCCCAGGTTCTGATCTCGGCTCAGTTACCTACAGTTGGTAACTGCTCAGTCGGTAAGGTAGGAAACTGTTTTACCGACCGAGTTAGTTCACCGGCCACCCAACAGATGGCGCCACTATCAAATAGCCCAATTGGGCTATATGAATTTTTAAATTTTGGCGGCAAAATGCTTATTGCTAATAGGGTGCTTTGTTTTACCGACCAAGTTAATTGGTCGGACACCCAACAGATGGCACCATTGTCGATTAGCCCAATTGTGCTATAAGAATTTTTAAATTTTGGCAGAAAAAATGTTTATTGGTAATGGATTGACCTGTTTTACCAAACGAGTTAGTTTTTCAACTACCCAATAGATGGCGCCATTAGTAAGTGATCCATTTAGGCTATATGAATTTTTAAATTTTGATGTCAAAATATTTATTGCTAATAGATGCTCTGCTTTACCTACCAAATAAATTGGTCAAACACGTAATAGATGGCACCACTTTACTTTATTGATTATTTACCTTCAAGTTTTTAAAAAAATTATATATTCAGTAAGCTTAATACAATCTTTTATTAATTATCTTATTAATTATGAAGTAAATCTTAACCTAAATATAATCTTAATTCTAACTTAATACTAATTATGTACTTAAATAACTTTTATACATTTATTATAACATCAATTTTACATATTTTTACAAAATTAAACTTGCTTAATTTTAATTTCAATAAGGTTGTATGGACCACCAATATAATTCAAACGTAATTGTCCAGCATCAGTTGTTTCCTTCATTTGTTCGAAGCATATGGAATCATCAGTAGACATGGGTACAAATCTTGAAGGCAGGTTGTTATTATACTTTTTATCTACCTCAACAACAATTTTCACTCCATATTTGGTGTTAACTACCTGGATCTTTGTAATTGGATACTTATTATTCATACTTGAATTTCAACTGGTGTATACCTCTTCCACTTTTTACGCATGCGCAGTACCCACCACTTGTTCTACGCATGCGCAATACGCTAAATTCAACCATCATTCCCCTTCACTATATGATAACCCCACTACCGCTTTTGCGCATTCGCAATATCCCCTACTTTAATACATTTAGCCACTCCTACTTAGTGACGTTATAAGACATGCTCAGACAAGTTTTAACATGTTTAATAGTTTCACACATGCACAATAAAGATAATAGCCACGTATGTGGGAAAAAAATTTTGTTTATAAAAATTGATATTACCATATTTTATATTTTTGGGGTCGCTGATTTCAAATTTGAAGTCAGTTTTTCAAAATTTTCAAAATTCAAAATGTCAGATCCAATATGGCGACCAAAAAGATTTGAAATCCACTAGATTTGCTTGACACTTGTTACTCGGGGGTTTTCGGGGTCGCTGATTACGAATCCGATGTTACTTCTTAAAAATTCAAAATGGCGGATCCAATATGGCGACCAAAAATTTAAAATTCACTAGATTTGCCCGAAACTTGTTACAGGCATTTTTAAATGTTGATTTATTAATTTAAATGGATTTGCCATTTAAAACTTTGAAAAAGTGATATCAAATTCGTAATCAGCGACCCCAAAAGCTCATAGTAACAAGTTTAAGACAAATCTAGTAAATTAAAAAATTTTTTGGTCGCCATATTGGATCCCCCATTTTGATTTTTTAAAAAGTAACATTGGATTCGTAATCAACGACCCCGAAAACCTAAGAATACCCATTGACAAGTTTATCGTATTGTGCCTACTTATTTTTTTTCAGATGTTACTATAGCGGTCATACACACTGGTGGCACGACATTTTTATGTCTCTATAGAGGTCAATAACAGTAAAGGGGTTAACCCATTCTGCAATAGAATTTTGAATATATTCTTCAATATCTTCAATTTCATAAGTACCAGGGGGTATAGTAATTACTTCATTATCAATACAAAATTTATTTTTACCTCACCAATATTAGGAATTGAATTGAAAGTTAATAATTGAACTAAGCCAAGTACATAATTTCTATTAGATAATAGTTCTATTGGAGGAAAATATTTAGCCTCCAAATTAGATGAATTACCAGAGATAGTTAAAGTAAACGATTCAATCATGATGATGACTTTTTATAAACTGATTAGGTGTATATAGAAATACCATCACTTGTATAGAATATATTTTTGAGTGATTTCAAGTTGTCCACATAAAAACTTAAGACATAAATGACCACAATGAAAAGTATCATAATCTTGATAATTTTTATGATTGTATTGTATTAGAGTATTATAACCTAAATAACACAGGCACACAATAGAAAAAATTTCAATTGCCAGGACTGCCATATGGTAGATTTTCTTAGTTAAAGTGTATCTAAAAAGAAAAACATATTCCGACATAAAAGTTAGTTTACTTTATAGACGCTAAAACGACTTTGCCTGAAATTAGAACCAATTTTTTTCGAAATATTTTTAAACTGCGTTTTACAATAATTTTTCATATTTTAAGATTACCATTAAGCTTAATTTACCATT